GCAAATTAGCTTAAGCCATGTTCAAAACAAGGCTCACAAAACAGCCCAGATGAATTTAATCGCATGCAAAAGTTCTGCTGTTTTAAGTGGCCTCTAACGTTATGACTTCAAGACAAACTTGACTAGTTCTGACTTTTACTTTTGTTGATGAAACCCTAGTATGTGATCGTTCAGTTGAAAGCTACTGACCAAATTTTCATGTAGTAGTTTAAGGTGCTATAAAAGGTATTTCTGCTTGTAACTTTTATGTCCGTGGATGAAACCTCCGGTGTGACCATTCAGATGAAAGCTATCAAAAGAACTAAAGGTGGTGATAACTGTGTTTCAATATTTTAGAAAATGAGATTTTCACTTGGCATCACGAGAATGGTAAAGTGATTAATTCAATTACAAGGAGTTAAGTATTGTTACGCAATCTTGCTAGTAACAGCGAGCACTACATATCATAACTAACACATCAAGTTTTGACAATCTACCTCAACTACATCTCCAGGTTTCTTTTTGTTTTGTAGAACTGACAGTGCGTACACGGTTGGATCAGCCACACAATTCAGCAATCCATGGGAGCTCTCAAACAGCAGTGAATCCATCAGTGGTAGCTGAGGTAACTCTTCGGCTTTCTTATCAACACTGCTAACTGGTTGACTGTCATTGGTGTCGGTGATTTCAAAGACGGAGTCAGTTGTGCCATCCGTGCATACAAGTGTCTTCTTTTTAGGATCACAAAAATCGGAATCAGAATTATTATCATCTTCGGTTTGTCGGAGGCTTCCTCTCTGTGTGGTGCGTGAACTGCGTCTTGTCCCTCTGTTCTTGATTACCTGCCAATCACTCAATGAAAGAAACATGCTTTCTTCTCCGTCGTCATTTAGAATACCGCTAGCTACAGGTGGTTCAATTTGCAGAGCATCTTGGGAAGAAGTGATGTCTGTCTTCCCGTGGTCTCTGTTACTATTACAGATAGCAGAAACATCTTGAGGCTTCGGATGCTTGTCAGCAACATCTCCTTTGTCTGGTAAACTTGCTGGCCGCTCGTATGGTATCTTGACACCCCCACCTGAAGCACACCAGAACTGCAAGGCGAGAAAAGACTTGCGGANGTCTCAGTACATATTCACCAATGTTCGCTTCGCCTTTGGCGAATAATCGTTGAATAAATTGCTCCTTGAACATGGGCCTGAGCAACCGAATATACCTGTAACTAATAGACTCTATTCATAAATGGCTGCCAATTATTTTGTAAGTATTAATTAGCCCAACTAACCTTGTTTTTGAGTTGATAAGAATTTTTTCTCTCAAACGAGGTTAGCTGGGCTAATTTAAATGCATAAAAAAGAATTTTAAAATTGGCAGCCATTTATGAATAGGGTCTATGGAGAGCAATGTGTTCCCTGAAATCACAAGTGTTGTTGGATTGATTTAAAACAAGAGTACAAACCTCTTCAAACAAAATCAGTGATGCTGCCTTAGAAGACAAACTTGAACATGACTCAGTATCGTCATTAACAGCTTCAGGTGGCTGCTTTAGAATAGATCTGCCTTTTCCCTTGGATTCATCTTTTTTCTTCTCTTTCACCTTTTGCTTTTTCTTTCCTTTCTCGCCTTTCTTGGGCTCTGTGTCAGACGTATTTGCATTTGTGCTCAAAAATGCACCCAGGGGTCCAGATGCTGGGGATGAATTGTTCACAGGTTTGTTGAAGAGTCCTGCAAACGACGCTTGAGGGGTAGGACCCTTGTTATTGATCACAAGGTGTGACTGGGTGGCTTCTTCCAGCTGTGACAAAATGTGTTTGCCCGAACGCTTGGATGAACTATTCACCTCAAACACCTGCAGAACCACAAATTCAAATAGTTACATGTATAACAGTCCAACATGTACAACACAGAAGCCCTTGAGTAAAGATTGATTAATTAATTAATCAATCAATTAATTAATTAAAACCTTTCAGGCTTATTGCATTAATCATGTACATAGATTAGATTTCTAAGGTATTGATATGCACACCACTAAAAGGCATTTGGGTTCAATGACTGAATTCAAATACACTACAACTGTGTACAGTACAGTGGTACCTTTGAAGTCAAATAGATGCATATATGCAAGTCTTGCAACTAAAAAAATGTACAGATAACAACAACAACACAGTAGGTCAAAACACTACACAAAGACTGGATTCAAAATTTGTTATGAGCAACATCCAATTCCAGTCTAATCATGGTGCACTATTACAGGGCTCGAAAAAAACTTGAATTCCACCTTGTCTTTGGGACAAGTATCTCTCTCAAATAATGCCTGCCCTAGGCAAGTCTTAGTTTGCTCTTTTAATGATTTAGTTGGTAGACGACATGCCTGATTCTTTGCCCATCAGGCAAGTGAGAAGGAAATGTTACTTGCCCAGAAGGAAAATCTAATTGTCCCGGATGACTGGATGACACTTTTTTTGAGCCCTGCCTGCAGACAAATCTGAGGCCTTATGCATCCCATAGCATGTTTGAGGACAGCAAGATGATGATAATGATGATAATAACAACACAAATGACGTGATAGCAAAAATGTGGGAGCAAGATGTTCTGCTTTCAACTTAAATCTGAATCTCGAGTATAAACAGGATCTCCCAAAGATGAGTAAGAGAAATGACTGGCCACTATAATTATAATTAAGTATTTTAATGTGACTAGGACGTACCTTGTAGCCAAGTTCCTCTGCACATGCATAAACCATGGCTGTCTTCCCTACTCCTGTGGGGCCAGAAATAAACATGGCAGTACTGAGTCTGACCCCTTCAGTGTCACTGTCTTCTGATGCATTGTCGCTCATCTGGAAGTCGGAGTCACTGTCATTGTCCCACCACTCCAGTGTGTGAGTTGAGGCTTGGTTGCTAGTTGTTGACTTCCCTTTCTGCTTAGCCAAAAGCCTACAAAAATAACAAGATTAACAAGCTCAAAACATTAAAGTTTAATTATTGCTTTCCTGGTAAAAAGGTACAGCAAGAGAGAAGGTTTAGAACAGGAATCTGGTGGTACGTCAAGACAGCATTAGAAGAAAATAAAGACAAATATGAATGCATCACAGTATTCTTAGAGTAGTGTTGACATCATCTGTGTTTATTTATGTCATGCATGATCCTACAGAAGCCTTGTATGATAGAGATCTCCAGTAGCAATAGTCTAATAGCTTGCAAAGATTAGTACTGCTGTAGTCACTGGGATTTTTAAGTTGCACAGCAATACAGGTAACTACTCAAGGTGCATCATAATAATTATTTACGTCACTTCAGACAGTCGACTGAAGTGCTTTTGCCATAAAATTTCAATAACGAGCCCCTCCAAACAGTAAACCCAACTGAAAATAAGTCTGCCAAATTTAGATGTAAAAAATCCTTTCTGATCAATAATAAGCCATTCTGAGGATAAGTCCAATTCTTTCGATATCATAAAGCCTCATGCTGTGTTTTGTATTTTATCTCATAACAATATGACGACTGTTGTTCTTGCTCAAGTTTGTGTTTCATTTCATTACGTTTAGAGAGTTTTAACATGCATTATTCTTATGTACTTTTATGATTTTTCAGCATTTAAGTGCCTTAAAACGTTCAAAGTGCAAAATTCCTCCCACTGATAAGCTTCTTGTAAGTAATTGAGCCTCGCCGAAAATACGTGTACAAGTAAGTCCACCCAGAGACCCTTTTCAGGCCTCATTTTTTAATAGAATTGTAAAACACTGGAACATTGTCTGTAATCTAGCCCCTCAAGACAACTTTTCTAGTCTAAGTATGTTAAAAAAATTTTACTTTACTGTATAATATTGACTTGCCCTGCACCTGGTTCCTCTCCCGTAACTGCCCCTGCCACCGCTCTTAATTTTACCTGACTGATTTTATTTGCACCTTACTGTGCACTATAAGTAATTAATTAGACTTATTGTAATTTTATTAAATTTTTGATTTCTTATCAGATTTGTTTATTAGATTTTGGATTACACCCTGCATGGGATGTTTGCACAATCCCTTTAGGTCTTTTCATTTCTACTATTGATTACTACCATATATATGTATATATTTAACTCATGAGACCAATAAAGTTGATAGACTTAGACTTTTGTGCAAAAGGAGGCCCAGGGATTACTATCAGAATTTTACAGCCTATTTAGCAGTTGATCTATCTACTGCCTTCTTTATACTGGTATTACCTTTTCTGTTGCTGCAGCTCCTTCCTCAGAGTTTTCTCTCTTTTTACCTTCCATTCTTCCAGCCAGGATCTCAGTTTACTTACAGCTGATGCATTAGCCATGACCTCAGTGGAGTGGAGTGGATGAAACAAATCAGTCCACAGTGTATCATTGACAAACCCCTCTACACTGTTCTTCTCCTTGTCGGAGGCAACCAGTACATCTGATTCAAAGGGATTGCCTTGTTCTATGGATGGCTCAGATGTTTCTTTTGTTTCTTTCTGGTGATCACTTGTTCTTCTTCTTTTCTTCCTGCTTGAGGTTGGCTCTACCTGCTCCAAATTATCCACACTTTCAGATTCTAAACATGTCTTCTTTTTCTGGAGTCTTGTGGACAATCTTCTTCCCTTTGTGCCCTTTTCCTGACCTTGGTCATTCTCTTCTTCTCTTCCCCTCTTCTTGCATGATTTGTTCACAGATCGATCCATTAGCAGACCTTGACTTTCACATGGCAATGACATGGGGGACTGCTCACTTTTTCTTGCAACCTTCTTCTCTTGGAAGACACCCCCATCACTTGACAATCTCCTCTTTACTTTCCCTTTCTTTCTGTTTACAAGATCATGCTTTTCTTCACTGTCATCAAATGGTTTTGGATTGCTCTTTCTGTCATTCACTGGTGCAGTGTTCTCGGTGGCAACCTGCTTGCTTTCAACTGCAGCACAGGATTTTTTGTGCTTTTCCAGCTTTGAGGCATATCGTTTGTAAAGTTTCCTCAGTGGTACACCAGGGTAGAACAGTGCCAGCTCTAAAAGAACTCTTTTAGTGACTGCCTCAGGGAAATTCTGTTGTGTAGTTCCTCTTTCCTGCAAAATTGATCATGACAGGTAAAAACAAAATATAGAGCGTGTGCATTGTCACACAATAAAAAATAAAATCCAAACCCATTCAGTGGATTAAGTCAAGAAATTGTGATATTATAGATGATAAATAAAGAAGACAGTTCTCCAAGTTTAAGGTGTGTGCATTCTCCCAAAGATAAAATATTCGTTGAAATGTTCCACGCAAAATCATAGAGCCTAGTATAGAGTATGGAGTATGGAGGACCTCCTCAGTCCTCCAATATGGCAGCTGGAAAATAGTGTAAACATCTGGAACTTACTTTGTCTATGTAGACATTTGATTATCTGAACCAAACCAAAAAACATTTACACAAGCACTTTCCTAATACTTTAACTCCTAAAATGGCTAAAAATCACAAGATAAGTGTATATTTTTTGACAAACGCAATCTTAGCTTCATGTCACACACAACCATAACTCCGAAATTCAAAATACACTGGTTTCCAAACGAAGGACGCTATTGAGCTGGAAAGTTGTAAACAGATATAAATTTAGTACCTCTTANTAAGTTAAATATTTTTCTTACCAGTTTCAAGGGGTCACACAAAGACTGCTTCTCCTGCTCCTGCCTTTTTCCACAAAACATCACCCTATCCTCTACCAACAATGAGGTGCTTGCAGAGAAATCTACAAGTGAACCTGTTGAAATTAGAAGATTACAATTATATTATAAGTCCACACCTAACGGTCAAAAATCTTACCGGGTGAGGATTTTGTAACTAACCAAACAAAGCCAAATTAGTGCTATAAAGTAGAGCTAAAGTAGGCATGCCGGCACTTGTGATGGTAGCTGATTACAGCAAGCAATATGTGATAAACATGAGCAAAATATCTAACATACGACGAAAGTGTGACTTTCAGAAATTTGTGCAGTTGAGCATACACTGTAAAAGATAGACAATCTGAAATGAAACTTACCATCTAATGACAAATTGTGAGAGAAATCATCAGATTTGTTATACTTCCCAACAGGCCAAGGAAGACTCCAGAAATTGACCCCACAAGAAACATCCTCATCTCTTTGAATCACGTGACTAACTAGTGGCCATGGTGCTGGAAGAGCTTCTGCCGCAGTAGCTGTTGGCAGCATCTTCTGAGAAAATGCCCCAGTAAATAATGCCTTGAAAGCTCTGTTTGCAGCTTCCTGCTCAGCAGCTGATTTCGCTTTGCGTGGAGAAGAATCCAAATCACTGGTACCACATATGTTTGTTGCATTATCTAAGGTTACTACTGAGGATACTGTAGAAGACAGAACTGAATCTCCAGGCATTGTAGGAAGTTGTTCTTCAGCTTCAGGTTTAGGAGGTACAGGTTTCCTCTTGAGAAATATGGAGGCTAATGCCTTAGGCTCTGAAAATGAAGATCTAGGTATTTTGACCCAGCTTAAAAAATCAATTTTTATTTGGTCAAGTCTGTACAGTTGAAGCTTGATTATCCGTGCCTCAATTATCCGGATTTCTCGATTATCTGGACTTTTTATCTAGTCCCAATTTTGTCATGAATTTTTATTAGTCACGCTCAAGATCCGTAGCAATATTCTTTTTAAAACTATAGCATTGAAATGTGCAGTCAAAAGCAAGTTTGTTTTGCTTTTAAAGAGCAAAAGTAGAGCTTGCACGTGTTGTAACTAATGAAGGACACTCAAATGAGTTCTGATTGGCTAAGAGTTGAGTGGTTCAAGACGTGCAGTACACCATATTGTTTTCCAAACGATTTGTAAAAGTGCTGTTTAACGATTTAATGTTGCTTTATTTAAACAGTTCTTCATTAATATTTCCGATTATCCAGACCCTCGATTATGCAGACTATTTCGTCTAGTTCCAATGAGTCCGCATAATCAAGGTTCGACTGTATTCAAGCCCAGCAGTGTATCAAGTAAGTGCCTTTCTCTCTGATTGCAGTAGCAAGAATTGACAAGATACACTGCTTGTATTTTCTACATCCCTGGATGAGGGGAATGATACCAATAAAGAATAGCCTTGTACAGCTTAATGTCACCAGTGTGTGATTTTGGAGGTCAAATTGCAAAGATCTCTCAAGCAGAGGATATTATTTACCATGCACCAAGAGAGTTCAGTTTACTCATTTAGCGACTGTGGACCATTCCCAAGATAATAAACATTTTAGCGTAATTTACTACCTACCAGTACAAAGGCTGGTCTCCTTGTGATGTAAGTCCCCTGTTCCCATCTCTCTTCTGCTGTCGTCTGTGTTCTTTTCACTGCTAGCTGTGTTCTGGCTATCAGTGCTTGACAGTGACTCACTTGGTAGACCTTTCTGTTTCTTTTCATCTCCTTTCCTGTTAATCCTGTCTGCATCTTCAGTATTGCTGAAGTCACTGTTATTAAAATCAAATAATAACAATAATTTAATAATAATATTATCACTCACAATTTGGAAGGAAAACCCACCTTTCTTGAGTATCCTTCTAGACATCAAATGTCTCTCAGTTACTTCTTTTCAATTTATTTTTAGTCTGGGCATGCACTAAGCTGTGTTCTGGGGTGAATCCTGAATAATTAAAATCTGATGGTTTCCAGGACTGTCAATAAGCGCCATAACCCGCTGCATCTGTTTCGGCTGAGCATACTAGGTGGGCCCTTGATGTTACAAGTTAACTTGCCTGTAGTCAATGCATTGCACCCATAAAGTAACAAGTTTGCTATGGGTGTGAAGACCAAGGCTACAGGTGAATCAAAACTTAATGACAGCCCTGGTTTCCTCCCAGCCCACCCCTTGCAACCCTACCAATAACAGCATAGAACAGATAACAGTAATAAATAGAGTAAAAATAGACCCTTCACAGAGTCTAATGGATTAAGTCATCAAGATGCCATATTGCAGCTCCATCTGGTACATCACAACCTATCAGCATTCTTGTTCAACAACAGACAGTGGTGTAAATGTTTAATGCCTTAGACTCCAGATTGTATGGTCTGGAATTGAGTGATGATCATGATCATTTGGTTAAGTTTTAGGGCAGGACACTTAAGACGCTCTTACAGTGTTACCAGAAAATTGTTGGGGAAACCTGACAGAATCCTTGGGGGTAGGCAGTGATGGAAACTGGAATAAGCTCTGGCACATAAGCATTTCAGCTTGTATCCCAAAAAATCATTGGTACAAATTCCTCTCCCTGGGTGGAAAGAGTAGATTAAGAAAAGCAGTGTGAAGCAAAGTAGTTGCCGAAGAACAGAACATAGTGACCCCAGTTTTTTTTTTTTTTTTTAATTTGAACCCCTTGAACCAGACCAACACAAGGAGACCACAAGAAACCTACAGTGTAATCTGATAAGTACTGTACTATTTTTCTACATAAATATTGAACATACCATACTGAAGTTTGCTGACACTCTGCAGAAAGTGACTCTAGTGGTAGGGAAGTTACATCACTTTTCATTTTCTTCTTTGGTTTTTGAACCTTTTTATCCTTGATTTCTGTGGAAGTATTTTCACAATCTTTCCTTTGCTCTTTCCTTCTTTTTCCTCTAATTTGTGCTTTTTCCAAGGGCTGAAAATCAATCTCGTCAACATCAGCACCCTCATTAGCAACTACACTCCCAGTTACTTTCTCTGTGACTGAAGAACTTTTTCTTCCAGATTTTCTTCCTCTCTTGGCACTTTTATTACTTCCTTTAGTCACAGTCACCTCTACAAGAGAAACATCAGTTTGGTCTTCCTCATTGTTGACTTTACTTTTAACTTTAGTCTTTTTTCTTCCTCTTTTAGATTTAGACACTTCAACTACTTCTTCGCATTTTTCACTAACAAAAGATTCATCACTTCCACATTTAACCAACTCACTCCCAGCACTCTTAAGTTTTCTTGTTTTCCTAGTACTCTTACTCTTTGATTGCTCCTCACAATTTACTACATCACTGCTAGCATAATCAGATTCTAATGAAAATTCAGTGTCTTTCCTCTTGCTTGCACGGATACTCAGTTTAAATTCAAAAGACTTTTTCTTGGATTTTTGTTTTGAGGAGCAGTCTTGATTTTCCAACACTTTAGACTCCAAATCAGACTCTAACTGTGAATCCATGCTGCTTGGACTCTTCCTTAACCTTCCTTTTCTCATCAAGAAGTCAAATGCATTTGTCTCGGATGAAGAATCTCCTGATGATGCTGGCAACTTGGACTGAAGTGCTCCCTTGTTATCAACAATCTCACAAGAACCCGATATTTCTGACTTGCTGTCAGATGCTATTATAGCTGTATCAGAGGCTTCTACCAACAAACTCTCTGTCCTTTGATCTTCCAGTTTTTGAACCCTTTGACTTTTCATTAAAACATCAAAGGCACTAGTTTTCATTTGGTTAGGTTTTTCACATTTCTCTAAAGCTTTTGATTCATTGTCTGACTTAACTTTCTCTGTGTGTTGTTCCACGTGTTTCTCAATAACATGTTTGGATAAGTTAGACTTCTCTATGTGAACAGCTTCACTTTCTTTGTCCCTGTTACTGCTCAATTCTGAAACATTTCCTTCATTTTCTTGAGCATTTCTAACATTGTTTCTTGATCTAATTTTTGCCTTCTTTTTAGCAGACTTTTGCACTTGTATCGTTTTTATATCAAATGGACTTTTACCGTCATCTTCAAAATCAGAGCCTGAACTATTCAAAGTCTTTGAGGAGTTATGCACAGCACAAGTAACAGACCACTTGGGTTTTGGTCGTCTCAGGTTTACCAGATCTTCTTGGGATGATGCATCATGCAATGTAGCTTTTCCTGACAGATTAAGCATTTTCTTTTTTGAAGTTTGACCATGGCCACTACTGATTGAGCACAAAGCTTCAGACTCTTGAACTATTGCAATCTTTGATTTATTGACACATATGTTGCTTTCAGTAGCTTGACCTGATTCTTTATAGGTATTCTATGATATTTCATTTCCCAACCTCTTTTCTGTATCTTGCTTTGTTTTAACTGGATGAAAAAATGCATTGATAAGTCCAGTCTTCTTAATTTCTTTATGACCTCTGCCTGCATCATCACCCTGCAGGAAAAAGAAATAGCCCAAAATAACAATCAGTTACATAATTTTGGAAAAATTTTAATTCTCACTCACACTGTGGGGTCAATGTGACTTTTTGTAGGAAACACATTCAGATACATCAACAGGTGTGCTTATATGTGTTTATTTCAGGAAAAGTTGTTTCCCCCACCCAGGGCTACCTTGCCTACCACAATAAGACAACTTGCCTCACCAAGTTGTTATCTCACCCCTCCTTCCTCCACCTCACCAAGTTGTTATCGTCACCCCATCTCTTAGACAGCCCAGGTATAATTCATATAGACAGTTGTTTGAAAAGAAAAAAGTTAATTCTCCCAGGGTAATTCAGAGGTGGGTTGCCTCAGATACCTAAGACCTTATGAATAGGCTCTCAGGGAAGCACCCAGTAATGCCCCTTGGCATCCATTTAACAGTCAGTATTTGAAACTGACTGTATCGCTTTAATATGCAATGTTTAGCATTTACTTCACCTGGATTAAGTTTCAAAGAAAGAGAATAGCAGGGCAAAGAAAAGCAAAAGAAAAAGTACAATCCCAGAGTGAATCAGACCTAACAAATTGCGAAAAGTTAAATCTACATTCGACATGGCCCATTATTATTTCCACAGGTAAAGCTCTAATTTAGGTTTATTTTAACTGTCATTTAATAACGTGATATAAAGAATCTCACAAATTTACACTACTTACCGTTACTACAAGCTCTGTTTCTTCGCCAACCATTGTTGACATCGGATTTTTGTCGCTTGAATTGCGTGGCTACAAGCGTTTTCCTTGCATAGAGTTTAGTTTTCCCAACATCGAACACGCCAGTGATCCCGAAAAACAATAATTTCGTGAAAATCAACAAAACTTTTTCCAGTAATGACAGATTTGCCTTCAATAACCTGATCAAAGTGTCGTTTTCACTGCGAATTCGGACAACGAACGCTTCGCGAATCATTTCGCGCCATTTTGAACCCGAGCCCGCGTAACATTATGGAGCCCAGACTCCTGCCACCTTCTCGCGTTAAGGAAGCGCCAAAAATTTTGAAGAAATTTTGAAAGATCACAGATATTTACGGCAAATTCTTACTTTTTTTCACAAAGCAGGCGTTTTTGCTGAGGTTATTTTTGAAATTGGGGGAACGTGTAATCTCACCAAAAGGGTGAGGTTTTATTGGATGCTCTTTATACCTTTCAAAAAGATTTCAAATTTCGGATCAAGCGGCCCGGGTACGAGCGCTGGCCAGGGACATTGTGTTGTGTTCTTAGGCAACACGGGTGTATAAATGGGTACCAAAGAATTTAACGCTGGGGGTAAACCTGTGATGGACTAGTATCCCATCCAGGGGGAAGTAGAAATATTCCTAGTCACCTCATGCTACAGAAACAGGAGATAAGCACTGGCCTGATGGGCCACTTGGTTTGTAGGCAGACATGGAGAACTGCAACTCTAACCAGGCGAGATCAAGATAAACATTCCGAGTGGGGCAGGATGGCGGGATTGAGCCAAAAAATAGTAGCAGAAGTGGGGTTGGAAAAGCCTATGTTGGACCCCCTTTCTATAAACTCTATAGTCAGCAAGCAGGAAATGGGGTAGGGTGGGGTTGATTAGGGCATAGATTAGGTGGGTGTTTCCTATCTTTCAGATTTAGGTTTCTAGCAAGCTGTTATATCAGAATTTGATGGTTCAGCAAGGAATATTAACGACACACTTTCACACCAGACATCAAATAACGATAACATTTGACCTTTTTATTAAGTGGAGACTAACAATATTAACCTTGAGCATTTCCAGGTAGAAGCGCAAAAAAAAAAAAACAGTAACAGAAAAAATAGGGTAGGAGTGTGAATGTTACTCAAAACCCCTTCCCTAGTTTTCTTTCGTTCTTTTTGTTGTTTCCTTTTTATTTGCGCTGCTTACAACTAACCAATCGCCTGGAGTGCACTAAAAAAACTTTCAATGTTAAAACCTGGCCCAATATAACTATCTCATAACTAGTTAGATACTGCCAAAATATTTTCCAATTTCCAAACAAATTGTTGGGAGTACCATAAACAAGAACCCAATGCTGTCCTAAGACCCATGTCCCCTGTAATACCAACAAGCTGATACTCCTGATATCATTTGCCTCAACAAGCAATTGGGAGTAAGTCAATAATTGACTTATCACAATTCTACTCCTAAATTATAAGAAGAACTTTTACAAGTAAATGTGTATAAGATATAAATTATTTACAGTAATAATTTTGTTCATCAGATACAAATTATTATTTCTGTAATAAATAATTCTCTTGTTTGTAAATACCTTTTAGATAGTCTCTTAATAGTAATGTTATTTTTTAGACATGACCACATCAGCATTGCTGTTATATTGTTACAGTGTATAAATAAATACTTTACCTTTAGTTTTTTACACCACATACACAAAAGTTTGCTTGTACAGAGAAAATGAACAAATATATGCATAACATTATGAAAAGGTTGTGAAATAAATTTAAAAAGAAAATCAACAAAACAAACCCCTAGGGTGGTGACAGAGAGACTGGTGTCTTCCTTCCTTTGTAACTTGTGAACATTCTCATTAATCTACCATAAGGAAAACTGCTTTAAAAATCTTCCATAAATAAAAATGTTTCTGCCCACAAACTACAACATGCAACTATAAAATAGTAATTTCAAAATAAGTTTATGATAAAATCCTACACAGTAAGAATCACTTCTTTGTTCGTTTCTTTCTTTTTTTGCTTCTTTTGTTTATGCGACAAAAAGACAGTTTATTAATAAAGGTACGGTAAGGTAATTGTATGAATGTGAGGGCAATTAAGGATTTACACTACATGTGATATAAGAAAATTCTCTCAAAATGTGCAATTTGAAAGAATTTCCAAATGATGAGTAGTGTAAATCCTTTATTACATCCATTTGGTAATCACTGGTGATCCTTGCAATCAGATTGGCTCTCAGCAGTACAATTTATTCTCAAATTGCACTATTTTTTGTGCTCTAAATCACATCCTCTTCCCAGCCAAAAAGAATGGAACACTAAAAAAACCAGCCAGTCAGATTTCAAGGCTAGAAATCAAATTACAGGAAAGCCAGTACGATTTATCCACCAATCACACTACTTTGTACCCTAAATTGCATCTTCTTCTGTTTGCATACAAAATAAGATGTAAAAGTGTTTCTGGTTCTTCTGGATCAATAAAATATTGATACTATATAAGGGGATTAAAAATGGATGTAATAAAGCGGCAGCTGAACCTCCTGTTGTGCAATCTTACTTGTAATTTCAAATTGCACACTTGCTCAATTTTGAAATCACTCAAATGATTTCAGACCAAGTTGCACTTCACTCAGTTCAATTACCATTATTAATTGCTTGATCTTTTATACCATAACTGATTTCATTATATGACTGAGAAAACTGCAAGCAACTGCGCATTAATTTGCACTGCAGTGCAAATTAAGAATTAATGACAAATAAGCCTGCTCTCAGCCAATCACAATGAAGCAATTCTGTCAGCCATATAATAAATAAAATAATATTACACTGATCCCGTCCAAGACCATTCCAACACATCAATTAGGTTTCTGCAGCTCCTTCCAGCAATCAGCGTATGATACAACTCCAAACTCCTGGGCTGGCCGGAAGAACTTTGTGGACCTCCACCAGTCCTCTAAATTATGCTTCTTTAGTACTTCATAATAATTCTTCCAGAAAGTTAATACCATATCATCAGGGACAAGAATTGGTCCATCAAAATCACTGGCTTCACTTCTGCTTGGTCTGCACTCTGCAGACCATGGCTTAGGTGGACGACAACAGGCAAAATGGAATGAGTTTAGGGGTCTGAAGATAATGCGTCTGATGTTGTATGCATAGGGAAGTGCCTTCCAGTTACCAACGTCAGCATAGTAATGCCAGAGCAAAACTTGATCATTAGGGCACGTATCTATTCTTGTGGTTTCTTGCCACAGGTTCATAATTTCTCGATAATAGTTGGCATCTGGTCTGAACACCAGCAGTCCTGCATTGAAACAAGGGTCTAGTACACCTGGTCTGGAACAAGGGGCGGCAGCAAAGTCATCTGGAATGTCGAACAGATGATCAATGTTTGTCATTAGCATGTAATCAGCATCAACATAAATGATTTTAGAATATTCTGTGTAGTTCCAGGCGTGGAATCGCGTGTGTGTTCCCTTTATTCTGTGTCCAAGTGGCTTCCCAAACAACCCACTGTTGCGGTCACCTCCCAATTTAGTATCCAGCCAATCACAGTCCATTTCTTCAACCACACGAGTTTCCCAGCCAACGCTCTGAAGTGCTTTCCGCGCACCCTCGCTCACCTTTTCCGAAATAACCACCATCATGTTCTTCTGACAAGAAAAAGTGCGTATGGAGTGACCAAGAACCAACGTAGGGACCACAAATAAGTCGTTGACCAACGCGGTCAGCCATGTTACATTACTTCTTATTTTCATATTGTCTTTGCACCAATCTTGGCCAAACCGACTTTCAATTTTATACATTCTCCATTCCTTTTGAGCCAGGACTAGTTCATTCTCCTGAAACCTCTGTTTATCGTTCATAAATTCTGAAATGACCGACTGCGCATATCTGAAGAAATACGGAAGCAAGAGCGGTCTCCAAACAACGAGAAATATGACAACAGTTAAAGTTGGAAGAACTGTCAACGCACAGACGGTTCGACGGGATCCTCTCTCTCTTGTAAACCCATTCCTCATATTTCAGTTTGGCCGCTTGAATGAAAGAAAAAGTTCAAGTATGCAGAAGCGACATCTGCTGAAGTTTAGCTAGATATCGACAACATACTGTTAGACGATATTAGACTAAAGAGGAACTTAAAAGGATGATTACGCTAAGAGGGTGCGCGAGTGTGATCAGCTGCTACGACAGCTGCTACACGAAGCGGCTTTTCCCGAGAGCAGTTGCGCGGTTATTTATAAAGCGCGGGAAAATTTTATTTATTAAGCTTCGGCCTAATTACATATAAAGAAAAAGAAAAAGAAGAGGAAGCAAAAAAAAAAACAACAATATCAAGCAATTTGGCATGATCGACTTTGTCAAACGCCTTACTCATATCGAGATAAATAACGTCCGTCTGTCTCCCAGCGTCGAGCTGCACCCCTACTATGTAGTCAAGAACGCTGGTTAGTTGAGTAACGCAGGACCTGCGTTAATTTGACTTTTGACGGAGCGCGATGCGCGGGGCGGGGAGTTCAAGGGGTGATTTTGGTGTGTCAGTAAAACGAGGACCATGTGTCGGAGCTGAGACCGAAGTCGCTTTTTTTATATTTTTTTGGGACGGATGTCAGTAAAACGCGGACTCGAGGGGTCGGGGTCAGGTTTGGGGTCGGGGTCAGGTCGGGGTCGGGGTCGGGTCGGGCCCCGAGTCTCTTTCATTTACATTTTTTTGCTTTCTTTAATTTTCTTTCTATTTTTGTTTTCTTTTCTTTTTCTCGCGATTAGCATCAGTACCCGACTGTATCACTGCTAAATGTGGTGGAGCTCCTTTTTAGGTACATCCCCCGGGCCACAAACAATCCGCGTCACATGTCAGTCAAGACAGTTGAATATATAGCACCTAGCTGCAAAAATTTATTTTCTAGTTCCGCTCCGAATTTTGCAATGCAAGTCCATGAGTCAGTCGAGAATTAAGAGATCCGGGGGTGTTCATGTTCTGTTTTCCTCGTTTCGCGGAAATCGATGCAGCTCTCTTCTGACGGACACTGAGAGTGAAATAACGCCGTTGAGTCACTCGCAACGGAAACCCTTGTCACTACATGTCAGAGGTGCGGGAGAGTTGCTTGCACGACCGTGGCTTAGAAAACGGTTACAGTTCGTTGGAACTCAGCACACCTCTTTATTGTGGAGTACACATCTAAGGTACTTATGTAAGTATTCATACCGTAAACTACTTGAGGTAATAATTTAGGTTCGAGTGTAATGATGTTTTCCCGTATGTACAGTGTGTGAGAAAATAAAGGAAATGTACGGCGGTGCTCAGCCTCAAAAAGTTCACAGCGCGATCTTTTGTGGTACCTTTTAGGGTATTGAGCCGAAAAAAAAAATATGACAGGAGCTAATGTACTTCTCTAGAACTGTTACTCCTTAGGGGTAAAAAAAATTCAAGCCATGCCCACAAAACAGGACCTTGGCACCTCTTAGAGGTTCTTTTCAAATTTTATGACGAACACACCCGTCCTTTTTATATCGGAGTCCCTCCTGGATTTGTATAAGAAATGTGAACTCTGAGTAAAAAGATATTTTTTCTTGTTCAACATGAAAATCTAGCTTGATTTTCATCTTGGAAGAGCAGCACTAAAACAGTAAAGGTAAGAACGAGAGTAGAGGAAGTTCCATCTAAATTTGCTGATTAAACTTGCGTCAATCAATCAGTCAATCACCTTTATTTATACCATTAAAATTTAACACTTTAATTAACACCCTGTGGAGCATGTATGACTAAAAATTTAAAAAATATAAATAAAAGGTAGGTGGTTACGAAATGCAAATTCCTAAAATATGTGAAAAAGAGAAAAAAATTACAAAATTTGCAGCATCGTTCTGAAAACAAGTTCTTCTTCCCAACTTTCAAATATCTGTACAAACTTGCAGTTGTACACTCTGTTCCTAACCACAAAATTGTAACTGTTGAGTGACTGTTACTGTCGACCATGAGGCTTGTTGAAGTCCAAATCTGGTCCAATGGCCACAATACCATATGGGTTAATCTTCAAGTGACTTTGCTGCAATGAATTTTATAAACAATCAGAGATCCAGTAAATTGAAGGGGCTCTCTCCTCTTGCACAGTAAGAACTTAAATAATTGCAAAATTTGGCTCTTAGCAGTGAGGAATTGTGTCAGCACCAAAACAGAATCACAACATCTAAAGACATTTTATATCCACTGCTTCACACTTCTCAGATCAGTAACTTATATAATGGCCACATGGGGACATTTTCAATGATAGCTTGCCTGGCCAGTAATGGAGATGAAGATGGACTATAAAAACGTCAGAGATTTGGCATTGAAACTCAGATGGGTAAAAATTAAGAAAAGAAATTGTCATAGTATGGCAGTAGTGTGGTAAATGTTGGAGGATAGATAAGGGATTCTAGTGGGGATAGGTTAGGGTTAGGGACTGAGGGGTGGGTGGGTGGTGTACATGACCCCCCAAAAAATTTAAAAATTTTACGCAGACTGAGGTAACAATTGAACCACAACATATCCAGTATTTAAAAGAACTTACAAAGGAATCATTTAAAATGACTCATGTGGAATCACCTGGTAATGCTTTTGAATATGTTCAGGATCCACAGTCTCACCAATCCCACTTGTCTGGTACAGATCTCGAAGATATCCCCACATGTTTGGACAGTCCATAATGCGCTTTTTGTTACACTACAAAAAATTAAGTAATAATCACAAGTGAAAAAGTGGTCATCTTTTTTTCTAAAGTTGTCTTCTTGGATCTGGGGATAAGAAAGCACATAAGTGTACCCTTTGAAGTGCCCAAAACATTACAAACTTGTCAAACATTATGATCAAAGTTTGAAAATTTGAGGTCCCTGTAATGTCAAAGAAATCACAATGTCTTGTCTTGGACTTCTCTTATAAGTGACATGCCACCCCAGAAGCTCATTGGAAATCCTGAGGAGTAGAGAGCTTCCTTTTAAAACGATTGTTTTCAAAGGTTTGGCATTTGATACCTTCTTCCCCTTTAAAATTTCCAAATTATGACCTTCCTTGAAGTGGAAGTGCACTTATATGAAACTGATACTGTACTAAAACTTCCAGTGGAGGGTGGGTGGGAGTCAACTTCCCTCCCCCCCAGAAACAATTTCCATGGGAGGGTGAGTAAGCATAGTTTGTAGCAAAGCCTAGCGGCCCATTGGGCCAGTGTTTATCTCAAGTTTAAGTCTCATGGAGGGTGCCTAAGTATAACAGGCTGGCATTTAGATTTGATAACTACAGAAGCAATCTATGTGCAAATTATGAGGAGCATGACTGTATTCCAGCAATTCCAAAACATAAGCAAAAGGTGCCACAACAGGAAGGAAAGTCATACACATACATATCATGCCTAAATAAAAATAGATGTAACGTCTAAAATAACCTTGACAAAATTTTTCAATACCTTGAAGTGTCCAACATAAACCATATCAAATCTGACAAGGGTGGTGAAGAGACGGACATCAGCCTCTGTGATGGTGTTACCAGTCAGGTAACGTGACTTAGACAAGATAGCTTCTACCTGTACAACATTAAGAACAAAATAATGCCAATAATGAGCATCATAATGACTGAATTTGTAAGTTTTCCTTTTATCTGCTTTTGAGGTTCTTGTAACTGTTGATACTAGCCCCTGTTGATACTAGCCAATCGCTGATGGGGTCACCCTGTCTAAATAAAGTTTAACTTGACTTGACTTGATGACTGTGACAATTTATTGTATGTAATACTAACTATTACAATTGTTGTTTTTCCTGCTCAGAGTTGGCCCGTTAAAGAGCTAAAAATGTGTGGTGTCTAGTGCCGTGGAAAAGGGGGCTTATTAGATAACAAGTACTTGTATTGGCAAATCCAGTTCTGCTCTGAAAAGTGGGAAAGAGAAAACTTGTTCTTAAGACAGACCTTGTCAAGAAAGTACCCCTCCCCCTCCTGTTTTCATCGAAAGTAAGGTCATATTTTACCTACAGAGTTTGGGAAATTAACAGATTTATTGATACCTTGTCAAGGGCATTGAAGACGTCTTTCACTGCACTGTCATATGCCTCCTGTGATGTGGCAAATCCTGAACGGTAAACACCATTATTGATGTTTCTAGATTATAAGAAATTAAGTCAAAATATAATGTGACAAGCAAAACATAAGCTCGAAACCCGATGTAGCACTAATGAAATGAATTTAGTGACAGGGAAATTTATCACCTGCATTTTGTTACCTCACAAAAAAGTGAGCAAAAATATTAAAACATTGATCTCAAGACTATTGTTAATATCACTCAGCCAATTGACTTTTGACTATTTATGGCAGGTTGTTGATGAGCATCTTCATGTGGGGGGGGGGGNGGGGGGGGGGGGGGGGGGGGGGGGGGGGGGGGGGGGGGGGGGGGGGGGGGGGGGGGGGGGGGGGGGGGGGGGGGGGGGGGGGGGGGGGGGGGGGGGGGGGGGGGGGGGGGGGGGGGGGTATACTCCCTATAATGGCCTATACATGGAGGCTCCACCAGGAAGGGGTACCTTCTTCAGGCTTCAGATATATAAAAGAAATATAAGGATTTCTCAAGACAAGATATATGAAAGGGTAGGGAAATCTGTCATTTAGGTATTTAAAAGAGTCTTTCAATAAAATATTTTGCACAGATGCAGCTTATGGTGTATCATTAAATTTATTAAGCACTGCATGAAAATGACTAGCAGGCTCCCTTTGTTGGAGCTTAATTCATAAGACAGCAGTTCTCAAGTAGGTGTGTGAAAGGGGCACTTTTTTTCAATAAAAGGTACACAAAAGGGGTATGATTTCTGTCAAAAATGGTGTATAAAAAGTTAATGGGTTGGACCTTGGGGTAGAGCCTCCCCGTGAAAACTATGTTGAGTATCCCTCCCCACTGGGTCCTGCTGATGGATGGCTTAGGCTAACCCTAATATTATAGCAGGATTCTCAATCTCAAAGGCTGATAAATTAATAATGCATCAGTCAATTCCAGCAGTGCCCATCCCCCCCCCCNCGGGCTTACCCCTGGGCATTAGCATTTTTTTTAAAAAAATGGGCAAATTCTCCGGGGTGGCGACACATAAGCTGTCTAGATGCCCCGGGGTGGGGACAAAGAAAGAGGGCAAATGTCCCACCCCTGGGATTGTCGCCTTCCAACACCTCTACAGTTTTTTAATTAATCAGTGAATAAAACGGTCAACTGTTCAGTATTTTAATGCAACAGTAAGACTTCAAGGACAACAGTATGTGTTAGTTGATTCTG